CGCGCGGCGCGCTGTCGTGGCGGGCGGCGCGCGCGGCGATTGGCCCGGCGCGCGTGTGCGCGGTGACGCGCGGCGCGGCGGTGCGGGTCCCGATTGCTGCAGCCGCTTGTCAGTGTGACGAAGATTGGCACCCAGGTAAGCGCTGTCACTCAAACGCGCTCCCAGCCAGCCAGCCCGCCATCCATCACGGCGCGCCCGCCGCGCGCCCGCCCGCGCCCACGGGCCCGCCGAGCCCAGGTGGGACGATCCCAACCGGAGTGATCCCAGCTGGGACCATCCCAGCCGGGACGATCCCGCCACCARGGCGGAGGAGGACAAGCGGCTCGTGGAGAGCCTGGAGCTCCTGGTGTGCGAGGCTGCCAACTGCGCTCCGGACGCCGGGAAGCTTCCCAGGCAGGACAGCGGGCTGCTGCTGGGGGGCTGGGAAGAGCTCGGAGGCGATGGCGACGCGGGAACGTTCGACTCGTGCGGGCAGAGAAGCAGCCCGCCGACGCCGCCGGCCCGGACGCACAGCAAGGAGAGCCTGGCGCTCAGCATGAGCAGGACGGTGGCGCTGGCCGAGGGGCTGCTGGAGCCGCCCGCGGGCGCGCGGGCGCCGGGAGCAGCGGGCCCCGCGGAGCCGCCGCGCCAGGGCCGCCACGAGCAGGACGACGAGAAGGTGCTCAAAGTGGCCGACGCCAAGAGAGCCTTTGAGAAGCAGAAGGCCCCGGAGGGGAAGGCGGCAGCTCCGGCGGCCAGGAAAGGTGAGGAGCGTGGCCGGGGCGGGATGCCAAGCACCCCGTTTTGGGGCYGGATTTAAGGCAATTTAAGACGTGCGGCGGGGAGCTGAATGCAGGTGAGCCTGGAGCGGTGCAACCGTTCAGCTGCATTATTATAAAATAAGTGGGCGACAGAGGAGRGGTGCTCAAGGCACTCGGGATCTAGCAGCTCCAGGGAGGTAGGAGGAAAACCCGGTGCTGACTCAAATCTGCAAGCGATCGGGTGAAAATACTGCTTGCAGCGAAGCTGTTTGCTGGAAACGGCGTT